TGGAACAAAAAAATCATCGATTGTCTTAATCTCTTTATTAATATTAATCTTTGAATCAGAAGATTTTTGAGTTGAAGGATTTTTCGACATTGAATTTAATTTATCCCCAATTATAAGTTTTTTAGGTAAGAAATGACCAAATTGTTCGAATACTTTTAACAATTCACGATAAGGATTTTTTTGTTCTAAAGCATGATCAATAGCACCGATAAATAATGCATCAGGTTTCATGGAGCCTTTCTCGAAAATGATTTCGGCTTTTATACATTTTATTTCCAAATAAATATCGTTAACTTGTGATTTGTTGATTAAAGGATCCGCGTTAGATACCCAATCAAGGTGATTCACATCAATAGCAAGGGAATCGATATTATTTTCTAATAAAAAGGAATCCTTAGATTTCGAAGAAACGATTAATTTTGCTTGAAATTTTGTATCCAAAATTCTCATTTTTGGTTTTGGAGTAGCACAAGGGAAAGTAGTAGAAAATTGGAATTTTTGAGATTTGATAATTGAACCATAACCTAAATTTTTATTAATCGAACTTGGTATATTAACCGATGGAGCTTTTGGTTTCACAGATTGTTTAACTCTTAAATCTTCGGTTTCGGCTTCCGATGGTTCATCATTCTCTGAATCTTCTGATGGTTCATTTTCAAAAGTTTCATTTTCGTTTTCATTTTCATTTTCAAAATTATCGGATTTATCAGATGGTATTTCATTATCTGACGGTGAACCAATTCCATCTTCTGAAGGTTTAGCATCATTAAATTCATTATCATCAAAATCATCATCTAATGGTTCTAATGATTTTGCACTGTCATCTTCATCTAATGGTTTCGTGCCATCATCTTCTTCATCATTTAATGGTTTCGAGCTATCATCTTCATTTAATGGTTTCGAGTTATCATCATCATTTAATGGGTTCGAGATATAATATGATTTAGGAACGTCGTCTTTGCTCGATGATTCTAATGCAATTGATTGAGTACTTGCGTTTGACGATTTTAAATGACTAATTTCATTTACATTATCAATCGAATCATTCATAGCATTAGAATTTGAAATTTCATCAGTTTCATCAATTGCAGTCATAGGAGGAGGAGAAGTAACTTTATAATTCAAAGTACTAGTTGAAGGATCATTAACTTGATAAGAATTATTTAAAGTACTATGAGCAGTTTCATATAAATCATCAGAAGTTGAAGAAATACAAGACATATTTGAAGCGAATGAGGCAGATCTTGGGGTTTGAGTAGTAAAATATGGTTGTTCATCAGCACTTTCAGGAAAACAAAAACTGGTAGGAGATTGAGCCAAAGTATCGGTAAGTACAGGTTGAAGATAAGAATCAGCACCTTCACGTCGTTTTGATAGAATACTTCGATTAGCATTATGAAGATTCATATATTTTTTATAACGTTGATTAGGATTAGGCGGAGATGAATAAGTTCTAACGCGACTATTTGGACCTGGAAGTTGATCGAGTTGATCGGATGAATTAGCAGAACATGAGGAATTATTTCTCTTGGGTTTAGTAAGTTCAGTTTCGATATCTAAAAATCTTAGTAGAATATCATCCATCTTGATTCTTTTTTCTGGTTTACCATTCCATCCTATATGTCATAAACGTTAGTATAACATAAATAAAGTCATAAACGTTAGTTATGACATAAATAATTTATAAAGAAAATCGAGTATAATGAATAGTGAATAACAATACCTTCTGCAATTACTCTCAAGTATTTCCTTTGAATATTAAGGAAATCCAAGGAATAAAACGGCGGATCAGGAGATTCTCTACGATTCTGAGTAACAAGAGTCCTAATTTCTTCTTCACTCTTGTCTTTGTAAGGCATTCTTTGGAAAGCCATCTCCCATAAAAGCATTACGAAACTATTATAAATGACAAATAATATATAATATTAATATATAATATAAAATATATAATATTAATTTATAATATAAAATATATAATATTAATTTATAATATAAAATATATAATATAAAATATATAAAATATAAGATTAATATAGTTCTTTAAATAAATATATACCTGTAAACTTCACATTCTCGTGTATATAAATGTTTCTCTTGCATCATTTCAGGAGCGGCCCAATTAATAATACTCGATATATATTCCGATATATGATCATTACTAAGGCCTATTTCCGAAGCATGTTTTGCAAGATAAAAATTGGTGATCTTTGGTTCCATATAGTAAGTCATCTGCAATGATAAACGATGATAAGCGATGATAAACCAATGAATGAATAATTAATGAATGAATAATTAGTATTAGTATTAAAAAAAAACGTTTTTTTTAAACTTACAGCTATATTTTCACACCGTAGATCACGATGAAAAATGTCAATATGACTTAAAAATATCAGGCCTTGGCAAATATCACGTGCAATTTTAACTTTTAGATCCCACGAGATTTTTTTCCTTTGGTAGACGTTTCTTAAACTACCTAAGCCAGCCCATTCGAATACCAACATTTCATTTTCATTAACATTAGAAAGTCCATAAAATTTAAGAATATTTCGACTGTCACCACATCTTTTTAATTCGGATAAAATTGACTTATTCTTTTCGAAATGATAAAGAGGTTCACAAACCACTTCCACACCACGTTTAAAAACCTTTCGTACGATAGTGCTCATGGGAGCATCATCATCTAAATAACTACATGGACCTCTGAATAGTTCACAGGCTAGATCTACATCGTCAATAAGAGGAGGATCAAGTAATAAAGAAGAATCGATACGTGGAATAGTGACGATATCTATAGAAGAACTTTTAAGTAAATCTTCGACAATCTTTTCAATTTTGGATATAGCATCATTTTTATCATCAGTAGGAATAGTTTTTAAAATCTATATAACGAATAAATGAATAAGATAAACGAATAATAAGATAATTAAGAATAATATATGATAATTAAGAATAATATATGATAGATACCTCATCGATTTTTTTAAAATCTTCATATTGACTTTCTTGTTTGTTCATTATAACTTTTATCAAGATTGGATTCAATCTTTTTTCACAATTTTCATGTTCTTTTATCAATCTTTCATATTTTTCTTTTACATGCCTATAAGGATAAAAGAAATGGTAATTTTTTTCAATGTTCGCTATCTCTTTTGCAAATTCTTTTATATTTTCTAAAGAAGTTTTATATTTTTTAAAAACATCTTCATATTGATGAAAATAGGATTGAACTTCATGTTTAACATATTGTAAGGCTCGAATGGTTTCAGATGA